ACTATGCTGTCCACCTGAAACCAATACAGAATAACACTGAGTGTAAACTGTAAGTGAAAAATAAAATTTAAAAGTTTATAATCTCACTGTAGAACTTTCGGTGTTTTAAACGTCTGTAGCCCTCTTGCTTTTCCATAATGTGAACTGAAGAGATTTCCTGCCACTCCCTCAACACCGTATCTACCTTTCAAAAAGTGACATTTCCTAAAACCAACTAACTGACCTTAAAATAAAGCATGTTTCTTCCTCTAATTTTGAATTTTTGCATTATCTTTCTGTATATTATAGAACAAAGTTGGCTCAATGTACATTTTCACTTATCTCCTTGCCGCTCATGGAAAGTATATCTCTCCTCTAATGCAGATGAATTTGGTTCCTTGCACCTTTAGTAGCCCACATAAGTGAATCCCCTTTCACAAGTAAAAATATTTGTAATTTCTTTTACTCCAATGAAGTGAAATCAGTAAAGTCTCCAAATTTAGACTAATGCAGATACTCTTATTTGTCCATTTCTGGACATTTTCTCACAATCTTCTTAGAACCGACTTCCATAATGAAGGTCATCTCCTAAGATCATTCTAGAGCCCAGTTGTTAGAAAGGAAACAAACTCCCATCTCTCACCCTGATGATCAAAGTTGACCCTGGCATCTCCTTTGATTAGGGTTGTTAAGAGATATTAGGTATATTTCACTACCTCCCAAGATCCTACTTTTAAGGAAACAAAAATGTTTATGATTTGTTTAGACCAGATAAACAATGAGGTCAAAATTGATGTTTCATTACTCAAAAGATGATTCTAGTGGGGCAAGGCTGGAAGTGGGCCCAGGGTAGGGCAGGGCAGGAATGTGTGGGGTGGTAACCAGGGGTACATTTAAATGAGGACAAGACAACATAAGAAGAAGTTATACTCTGGTGCTGGAAGACATGGCCTCAGGACAAAATCACTGATCTAAAGAGAAGGATATTAGCCTACTTTGGTGAGTCACTATACTACACTCAAGGGAAGACAAATCAAAATTCTAAACTAGTATATCAGGGTAGCCTTCTTCCTCAACTAAGTTTTCCTAAGAGTCCCTATTCCAATAAATAAGCTGTTACTTTCATTCTACAGTATATCTTTAGAGATAACTGCATGTCCAAAAGGATGCTTCAGATTATTACGAAGCTCTCTTCCTGAGAGCCCTAAGCTCTCCTTAGTACTCACTAATGCATTTCTTCTTTCTACATGTAGTAACCCTTCGGTGGTCTCTGCCATTAACACTTGTCTCCAAGAGATGGAAGATCGGATAGAAGGGTAGGGCTAGTTTGTGTACACGGTTGCCTGAAGTACAGGGTTAGGACTTAATCACAGGTGTTTGTTAGCTCTTGAACAACAAAAAGACTGGGCAAAAGCAAGAGCTAAAAATGACTAGCCTGGCAGTGGTTTGCAAGATGATTTTGAGAAAAAAAGAGCCCAAAATTAAAAGAGCATGAAAGATATCTTCAGGAATTATAAACTGTTCAGGATGGAAAAATACAAGGTCCAAGGGAGAAGTAGGAGATTATTATACATCATCTATGTGTGGGATAATGAGAGCCAGAACTAAAGAAGGAGCAGTATTAATGAAGAAGAATGGAAAGGAAAAATGTCAAGACTTGGTATGAAATTGGGTAAAGCTTAGCTGAAACTGGAGTGAAATTGGGAAGGAGTCCGATCCATCCCCACTTCCCTGCCAGCCTCTGTGCTGCTTTCCCCAGCTGCAGCTTATCCAGTGCCTTCAGGGATCAGATTGCCAGTGCCTTTCTGTTCTTTACTCTTGCCTTCAACACACTCCTTCCATCTGAGATGACAGAGTGATAAATCTGGGGCCTGACAGTCCTAAAGAATGTCATTTTAACAAGAAATCAAAGCCTGTTGGACACTCTGTAGAGTAGATTGCAGGTATCAGCTAAGATATGGATGGATCGGTTGTTTTTTCTGACCTAGCAGGATGGGCATCTTATACAAGAGATAAAAAGGAACCAACTAAGGTGACTTTATGAGTTTCTCTCTTACAAGATCTGAAGAATGGTAACTATACTGCCAGAAGCAGAGATGTAACTTGTAAAACCACAGACACTAGGCCAAAGAGAAAGACCTGTGAACCCCAGAAAGTGAGACAGTTTATATTTCATTGAAGCCATAGGTCTCTTATCCTGCTTGCTTTTTTTCCCCCTAAGATCAAAACTATATCAAGGGGGAAAAATATACCCCGATGTTCACAAATTTGCTGAATGGCAAACTACAAGGGAATTCAGAGAGTATATAATACAACCCTATTGAATTACAGATAAGAGAATAGAGAATTGGGAGGAAGTGATTTAGTCAGGATCATGCAATCACCTACCACAGATTGAGGTATGATCCAGGTCTTGTGTTTACTGGTCCTATGAATTTTCCACCATGCCCACTGTCTTTCTTTGTTCAAGGATTCCCTCTGATATTGATAAGACATCAGTAAAACATATAAAATTGATTGTTCAGATCAGCCAGTATTTAAAAGGCACAGTACTAGGCATGAAACACAAAAAGAATATGACCTCATTATTCCCCTTTAAGTTGAGTGGGACTAGGTGGGAAGAATGGGGAAGTTCGAACTGATTAACTCCAGAGATGACTATGACTCAAAACAAAAAATGAATATCACCAAGAAAACTACAAACAAAATACTACAAGACTTCAAGGGAGAGAAATATTACATTGGGTTGAGAGGATCAGAAATGACTTTTCATTTGACTAGAAACAAAGAAGAAAGAGGCATGACTACTATCTTCACTTCATAGAAAATACAAGCCTGGGGACCACCTTAGGCCATCGTAGGTCACCAGCTCTATGTGAACCACACTTAGAAAGCACAACAGTCCTTTTCATGCATAGGGAGTTCCAGAGCAGCAACAATAAAGAGAATGCTGTACGAAGTGGGACCTTATATTTTTAGATTATCTCTGGGCTCTCTTATTTACCTCATTCACTGGAGCTTGACCAGGTTATACCTTCAACAGAGGTTATGGGCTGATGGAAAAAGAGAGAGAGAGTGTGTGTGTGTGTGTGTGTGTGTGTGTGTGTGTGCATACACACACACAAATAAAAGATCTGAATAAGAGCGCATATATATAATCCATCCAAATAAAGGGCTGATGGAAAGAGAATATATATATTTTCCAAATAAAAGATTTGAATAACTCCTTAATTAAGTAATTGAAGTCAAATCCTACTGAAGCTATTGTCACAGACATGAGTCCTCAAGGAAACCAAACAGGAAAAAGAGAAAATAATGAAAGTATGAAGTCCCTGCTAAGTTTGTGCAAAGCTCAAACTTACCAAAGGAACCATAGGAGACAGCTCAGGACCCAAACTTGAGGAAACAACTGCAATTACCTAGACAATGTAATGAGTGCACCACACTGAATTGCACAGCTACAACGGAAATGGTTAATGAGTATATGGGCCTAATAAGAGTAAACTTCTCATAGTTGGGCCTTGGAAATTCATTAACTTTGTTTCCTTTCCCACACTAGGGAGAAATATAAGTTTGTCTAAACACAAAACTGTCAAAGAGCCAAAGTTAATTCTCTCTATAGAGAAGATGAGTGCAATCACATAATTCCAGGATTAGAAAGGATTTTTTCATTCGACATTCAGTTAGTATATCTTTATTGATTACAGAGACCTGGGATGAGGTCTCTGTAAAAAAAAAAAAATTATTGCCTGAGTAACAAAATATAAAAGCCAACTCTTTTTTCCACTTGCAATCCATTCTTCACCCAGACTGCTAGTAATAGGTTACCTATGCCAACTCCTTACCTGTAGAAGGTGGGAAAGTTCAGAGAGGAAAAAGAAATTGAAAATCTGAAAAATAATTATGAGTACACAGTAGACTCAAACAGCGATACTGTAGTCGTGGATTCAGGCTCCTAGTTTTAAAACGTATCTGTTTTATTTAGTTAGTTAGTTAGGTAGTTATTTTGCATTTCCTTTATTTTCCTCTTGGTTTCCTTTTTTTTTTTTTGAGTAGAGTTCCTTTGGAAAGTCCCAGCCTGTTCATAGTTGCTAAGAATAAACTGGAGGAAGATGTTTATTTTATTTTATTGGCACTTAAGAGCACGGATAAGTGAAAAGTGGTAACCTCTCTGGTTTTTGTAAACAGGAATGAAAGGTGCCATAGGGAAGCACAAAGTTAGAAGAAAAATGTTCAGGTTGCTGCTGTTCTAAGAAAGCCTTTCTGCTCATTTCTTGAAGATGTATTATACATTGTTGGATATTTTTCATCTTTATTACATATTTTTGCATTACCATTTAGTACCTTTATACCCCACTCCCCCAAGCAATCACCACATTGTTGTCCATGTCCATGAGCCCTGGACTTTATGATACAGTTTTAATGGAAGAGAAGAGATATACACTCATGAAAAGTTAACTATACAAATTATGAAGTAATTGATCTCCAAAGGTATACTAGTCATCTAAATAATTTTCAAGGAGTAGAGTCCAAGGTCCTCTAAGTCATCCTCCCTTCAGGGAAAACTGTCACTAAGCCATCCCAGACAGATATACTTCATATTTTTGATGTTGTAACTCCTCTTAGAAACCTAGAACCTAGGATATGAACTTCTAAATTATTTCCCCTTCAAACTTTATAAAAAACTGTTTAAAAGAGAAAATAGGGAAAATACCAGGGTTTCATAGTGAAGAGGATTTTTATAATACTGTATTCATCTTTAGATGCAGAGGCTACACGCACACAGAAGCAAACATCTGTGGTGAGCCTTGGTCTGTATTCCAAGCTTTGCCCCTGGGGATGTCAAAGTGGATGGGGATCAAAGAATGCAGCATAGACTCCAACAACAAGTCCTAAATTTATCCATAGAGCTTTAATATCCCATCACTCACTTGGATCTGCATGTAAGGCTGCTAAGCTCCCACGACCCTTCTGGACTGCTTCTAATGTCATTAACTTCCTTTCCAATCTTATAATTTTAGTTTAGGCTTCACCTGATATTACATCAGAAGAGGCACTGACCACAAACCAGAACCCTTCTTGAAAACTGCCACAGTGCCACAAAGAGGTATGGCTCCATTTTCTAAATGATTGTTTTTTTCAACTTGCAAGGTATCTTATCAAAGTAACTCCCTTTATCATCCACACTAACATTAATTTTATTTATGTTTATTGCTTGTTTATATTAATCAGTTAATAACCTATTTCTTGTGTGCTGTGACATCTCTTACCATACTATATTGTAACCTCTCCATACTGAGCCATCGCTGCTGACCCCACAACACTGTGAGCTTCTTTTTTTTCCTTAAGATTTTATCTAGAGAGAGGGGAAGGGAGAAAGAAAGAGAAAGAGAAACATCAGCGTGCAGTTACCTCTCACACACCCCTAACTTGGGAACCTGACCTGCAACCCAGGCATATGCTCTGACTGGGAATTGAACCAGTGACCCTTTGGTTCACAGACCCATGCTCAATCCACTGAGCCACACCAGCCAGGGCAGCTTCTTAAGGGCAGGAATGGGATATTAGACATCTCTGTCTCCACATAGCATGGGTCTCATTATTGGGGGATCATAGTAATGCCACAAAAAGTGAATTAAATGTTATTTAAGACCAGCAAAGCCCCTATCTGTAAAATGAATGGCTTGGATGAACTAAATGATGCCTACCCCACTAGGATTTATTGTATGAGAGTTTTACAGTCTTTTTTAATGACCTAATATAAGTCATTAATTTGACTTAGTTATAAATAACAATTGAACCTTAATGTAGAGAGTACTTGGAAATCTTAATTTGGTCTGTGAGAACTGAAAAGTTTACTAATGGGACTAAAGATCATCTGTTTCGTTGTTTTTATTAATTTCTTTATCAGTTTTATTTGGCATATTTCATTCAATGATCTGCGCATTTCAAATGTACTTATAATCTTATAATATTTAACAAACAAATGATTACTCTGTATGACTTTACTGCCTTCCTCAATACTTTAGGAAGCAACTGTACTTAACAGAGCCACTGTAAGCTCTGAGGCTGGAAAGCTTTTCATTGGATTGGCCAAAAAGTCCATTTAGTTTTTTCTATAAAGTAAAAGACACATTTTTCATTTTCACCAAAAACCTGACTGATTTGGATATTATGAGTATGTTGGCTATGTCTTGCATGGTAGAATGTTGATTGTTCTCAATCAGTCAATGTCTTGATTGATCACTATCAACTTCAACTGATCTACCGGACCATGGAGCATTATCCAGTGAGAAATCTCCAGCATGAAACTTCACAAACCACCTTCAATCAGTCACATCACTTTTGCCATAAACTGAATACACCTTTTTTTTTAGTTTCAGCTGTGTTTTCACCTTTCATGAAATAATAAAGCACAATATGCTGAAAATGTTGCACATTTTTTCCATCTTCAATATTAAAATGGCTACACAAAAATTCACCATTTTTTATTGTTTTTTAAGTGCACACTGATATGACAACTGTCACAATACAATCTAATGAAATTGTTTCAAATAAAGTTAAAGACAACTAAGTGCCACTAGAGCCATCTTATAAAAAAAAACCCAAATGAACTTTTTGGCCAACCCAATAATTATATTAAAATGAAAAGATAACTCTAAGTGATTTCAAATGAGAATCATTGCAAATCATAAACTTGTTCCATCTTTCATTTCCTCATTCACTCAATTAAATTGATTGAGCACTTATGGTCAAGGTACAGCTGTGTTAGCCCTGTGCGCAGTGCCTTCTCATGTAGCATACAGATCGTCTGTGATGGAAGATAATATATGCATACAAATCACTGATCTGCAAGATAAATTTGAAGTTCCTCAGGAGAGAAAAATACAGAAATTACTTTGGAGGGACACTAAGGAAAGCCTTGGTCAAGAAGGTGTCATTTAAACTGAAGGACAGTAGCTTTTGCACATAGATGGAGAAAAGGGCATTTCTAGTAGAAGAAATCCATGAAGATAGACAGGTGGGGGGAAACATGTAGAAAATGTCCCTGGAACTGTAGAATAGTTGATCCACTGAATTTGAGGGTATGCAAGAGGAAGAAGTGAGACAAGAAGCTAGGAAAGTATATCGGCAAGCTAATTGTAAAGAGCCTTAATTGGGCCAAGGAATGTGAATTTTATTCTGGAATAAAATTCAGGAACTCAGGAATCAATGAAGGTTTCAGAGCAAGGACGTGGCATAATTGGGAGCTATTATGTATGGAGAATTATTCTGGAAAGAGTTCATGGCAGGGAATAGTGAGGGTCAATGGTGATAGGAAGGAAAGATGGTAATTATCGAATATCCTGCGAGTGTGGCCTAAAACAAAGGCTATGTCAAAAATTCCAACAGCACCATCTAGTGCTTCACAACGTAACACTGCTCTTTTGGGGGGAAACCCAATAGGCTAACAAAAAAAGCTTTGATTACATTTAGGCAGTTTGTTTCCCTTTCATGATTACACCATACTTCAGAGAACAAATGGTGAAAGAGGTAACTAGAAAGCAAACTGAGAAATAAGGTAGGGGTTGGAAGTAGTGAACTCAATTTTTTTATCCATTGATATCCACCCGTCTTATGATATCCACCCTGAGAATGATTCATCTTCAATGTTTTATCATATACCAACAGTTCTTGGTGAAAATAATAACATTTTTAACGAAAAGGAAATGTGGAACTAGCCTGGATGGATGGATGGCTGACACATCTTTGCAGCAAATATAATTGCTAGCAGTAGTGAGCCTGAAGTTTTATCCCACCTACAACCACTACGATAGCTGTTTCTGTGTCCCTGATGCAGACACGAGATCAGTCTCCTCCATTGCTAGCAGTTCTTGCATGCACAAGTGATCCTGTCACCTTAGGAACTCTAACTCCTCTCGTACCACAGAGCAAGAGCTTTGTAAAAGGCCAAAGAGTTAGACTTCAATCAAACATTATCCACCACATTATATATTGATGAATTGCTCCCCTCTTCCCAAAGAATAAAAGAATCTGGAAGAATATTAAAGAAATCACTCCTTCCACACTATCTTACCCCTATTTTTATCTGATTGATTGCCCTGATTAACTGTCCTGATATGATTGAGCTAAACTAGATTAAGTAACAACTTCCTGCTATAAGAAATGATCACGTATTCTCCAACAGGAAGGTTTTCAGTGTGAGTATAGGAGGAGAACAAGGATGAACAGCAACAACAATATACTCACAAAGTACCGTATTTTGCTGTGTATAATGCGTACTTTTTTGCCCACATTTTTTAGGGAAAAATAACGATGTGCATTATACATGGGTAGTACCCGAAATACCTTGTATCTGTTCTTGTGTTTTGTAATTATTTGTTGCATAAAATTTCTTGTGCCATAATATGTTCAATGCTAAAATTTCTTTATAATACAAAAAACAAGTATCTAATGTAACTAAATTAAAAATTGAAATAAAATTAAAACAAAAGACATTTTTTCCTGAAAGTTTGGACCAAAAACATGGGTGTGCAATATACACAGCCAAATATGGCATGTTCCAGCTAGTTATGCTGCATCTTTCATCAGAGACTTAAGTTATGGCACAGATTTTAGAAATGTATTTCACCTCTGTGCAAGTATTTTCCTCACTAAAATAACTGCAACTGCTTCAAAAATGTCTCCAGCCTTGGTGGTCAGAGTCAACCACGTTGTAGATTAAGATTATCCCCCTGGGGAGTTCCTTAACAACAATTCCAATTATTTTTCTTGGGTAGGAGCATCACCCAGCAGATGTTAACCACTAAGCTCTCTTCTTGGTAGAACCACGCATTTTCACCCAAATTTTCCTTTCCAAAAGAATTCAGTACTCTTCCAATAAATAGATGATAGATAAATACATAGATACATAGATAGACAGAGAGATAATACATACATAGATTCATACTTATGAAACTACTTTCTTTAGACTTTTCTCTAATTGAATAACTCACTTAAAATTTAGATTGACAGATGAGTACTGGAGTAATGATACTTAAAATAAAGCAGAGCTATTGTGCCTAGGTCTTGAAGATTAAGGGGAAGTCCATCAGGAAAACATGGGGAGAAAAGGGAAGATAAAAGAGTGCTTCTCCTGAGGACAAGGTGTGGTTGAATCCTTCCTCGTTGTCCCCCAACCCTTGCTTCCTGCCATGGTCAAAATGCATACAGAGTGACACTATAAAGTGAAACCTTAGTACTTCCTGTTATTTATGGTCTGGTAAAAATTAACAAGCCTTTTATAAATACATGTGTCTATGTATTGTAGGCACCAAGCAGACATTCCTAGAAAAACATGGATGGAACTGGAAACCTGACAGCATCCTCTGCCAGCAATAACATGTGCAATAGCTCTATTGATGACTTCCGCAATCAAGTGTACTCCACCATGTACTCTATGATCTCCATTGTGGGCTTCTTCGGCAATGGCTTTGTGCTCTATGTCCTCATAAGAACATATCATGAGAAGTCAGCCTTCCAAATATACATGATTAACTTAGCGGTATCAGATTTACTCTGCGTATGTACACTGCCTCTCCGTGTGGTCTATTATGTTCACAAAGGCATGTGGTTCTTTGGTGACATTTTGTGTCGCCTCAGCACCTATGCCTTGTATGTCAACCTCTATTGTAGCATCTTCTTCATGACCGCTATGAGCTTTTTCCGGTGCATTGCTATTGTTTTTCCAGTCAAGAATATTAATTTGGTGACAGAGAAAAAAGCCAAATTTGTGTGTGCTAGCATTTGGGTTTTTGTGATTTTGACCAGTTCTCCATTTTTAATGTCCAAAAGTTACAAAGATGAGAAAAACAATACCAAGTGCTTTGAGCCTCCACAGGACAATGAAACTAAGAATCACATTTTCATCTTGCATTATGTGTCACTGCTTGTTGGGTTTCTCATTCCTTTTATTATTATAATTGTCTGTTACACAATGATCATTTTTACTTTGCTAAAAAATTCCATGCAGAAAAATGTACCAAGTCGCAAAAAGGCTGTAGGAATGATTATAATCGTGACAGCTGCCTTTTTGATCAGCTTCATGCCATATCATATTCAACGTACCATTCACCTTCACTTTTTGTACAATGAAACTAAACCTTGTGATTCTGTTCTTAGAATGCAAAAGTCAGTGGTCATAACCTTGTCTCTGGCTGCATCAAACTGTTGTTTTGACCCTCTCCTGTATTTCTTTTCAGGGGGTAACTTTAGGAGAAGGCTGTCTACATTTAGAAAGCATTCTCTGTCCAGCATGACTTATGTACCCAAGAAAAAGGTCTCATTGCCAGAAAAGGAAGATGAAGTATGTAAATAATAGTAAAAACCCACCTCTGATGCAAATCAATGAAATATAGTTTCCTAAGCAGGTATTTTCTCAAATAATTACAATAAAAATGATGATTTCCATTAATAATTTACAAATACTTAACTAGGTGTGTGCCTATAAATTTATCTCATTCATGCATCCACATTATAATAGATGCTAAAAGTATTTTTAAGTGATAAAATTTCAGTCCCCGACTATTAACTAAATCACCTGGCTGGTAGCTCAGTGGGTTGAGCACAAGCCTGCGAAGCAAAGGGCCACAGGTTCAATTCCCAGGCAGAGCACATGACTCAGTTGTGGACCAGGTCCCCAGTAGGGGGCATGCAGGAGGCAACCACACATTGATGTTTCTCACCTTCTCTTTCTCCTTCCCTTCTCCTCTCTCTAAAAATAACATAAAGAATTTTTTTAATTTCATCCCACAACTATTAACTAAATTATAAATGTGATCATTTGCCAAGAGGTAAAGAATACTTATGCATTGGCAATTAAAAAAGGGTCCAAGATCAAGGACTTCCCCTCAACTAAAAGCTTTACAAAGGATAAGAACTAGCCTTTTCACATGTAAAATTAGCAAATAGTTTTTGATCGTACTAACATGTCCCTCTGCATGCATTCCATCAGATGAGAACTGGAATGACCCAGGAGCTACATAAACTATACTGCCACCTTCTTCCTTTGTAGTATTGACTGATGAGGCCAAGTAGGGCCATTTCTTCCAACAGAACATACAAGTGCTAGAAAAGCCTGGTAGTCAGCCAAATGGCCCTAAAAAAGCTCCATGCAATGTACAGTCTGCAAACTAAGGAAGATAAATCTGGTCAAAGGCCACTTTGTGTCCAAATGTCTTCAGCTCCTGACCCCCAACCCCTAAAAGACAATGGTGACATTTTTGCTAATTATTGAGGTTCTTATAGGGAATTCTCCCCCTACATGACATACAGACCTTCCTCAAGAAATCAGACAACTGGCATTTCTATCTTTGAACAGAAGTAGTTAGGACTTCTGGCCAAGATGGAGGCGTAGGTAGAAACACGGTGCCTCCTCGCACAACCAAGATTAAAGACAACAAAGTTTTAGTAACAAAAACACAACCAAAACACAGAAAATTGAACTGTACGGAGTCCAACAACAACAAACACATTCAGCCAGACCAGTAAGAGGGGCGGAGTCAGTGGCTGGTAGAGCGGGTTCAGGCAGGAAAAAGTGGCCACACTGACCCAGGCGCACAGGCAGCGGCTGGCAGATCCCAGATGCGGAGTGGCAATGGGCAGACCCAGTGAGGGTGCAGGGTGGCTGGCTGACCATGGTCACACATTCGTGTACAGATAAACCAGGCAAAGGAGTGAGCAGTGAGACAGACGTGCAACCAAAGCCCCAGTGACGGGAATTAAAGCCTAAAAGCACCAATTGGAAAACCTTTCAGGGTTGAGGTGCTCGGAGAAGCTCCCAGGCTGACAGAGAGTTTGTTGGAGAGACCCACAGGGTCCTGGAGGGTACACAGGCCCACACACCTGGTAGCCAGCACTAGGGGGGGTGAGGTTTGCTTGCAGGAAGCAGCAGAGGGGACTGAAATTCGAGAGAGAGAGCAGAACAAATGCCATTGCCCCTCTCTGACTTCCCCCACATACAGCGTCACAACCCAGCCACTGGGTCGCCCCACCCTGGTGAACACCTAAGGCTCTGCCCCTCATCCATAACAGGCACGAACAGTCCACAACATTATTGCTCAAGAACAGCTCAAAGCCCCAGAGCCAATACTTCTAAGTGACCAAGAGATAGCCAACCTATCAGATGCACAGTTCAAAACACTGGGGATCAGGATGCTCACAGAACTGGTTGATTTTAGTCACAAATTACAGGAACAAATGAAGGCTAAACTAATTGAAATGAAGGCAAATGCACAGGAAACCCATAGTGATGGAAAGGGAACTGGGACTCAAATCAAGGGAGTGAACCAGAAGGCAGAAAGAAACAACCAAACAGAAAAGAATGAAGAAACAAGAATTCAGAAAAAATGAGGAGAGGCTTAGGAACCTCCAGGACATCTTTAAACGTTCCAACATCTGAATTATAGGGGTACCAGATGGGGAAGAGGAACAGCCATGAGTGGAAAACTTATTTGAACAAATAATAAAGGAGAACTTCCCCAATCTGGCAAAGGAAGGAGACTTCCAGGAAATCCAGGAAGCCCAGAGAGTCCTAAAGAAGTTGGACCCAAGAAGGAACACACCAAGGCACATCATCATTACATTAGCCAAGATTCAAATGAAGGAAAGAATCCTAGAAGCAGCAAGAGATAAGGGGACAGTCACCTACAAAGGAGTTCCCATCAGACTGTCAGCTGATTTCTCAAAAGAGACCTTACAGGCAAGAAGGGGCTGGAAAGAAGTATTCCAAGTCATGAAATCCAAAGACCTACATCCAAGATTGCTCTATCCAGCAAAACTTTCATTTAGAATGGAAGGGCAGATAAAGTGCTTCTCAGATAAGGTCAAGTTCAAGGAGTTCATCATCACCAAGCCCTTATTATATGAAATGTTAAAGAGACATATCTAAGAAAAAGAAGATAAAAAATATGAACAGTGAAAGGACAGCAAACTCACAGTTATTAACAACCACACCTAAAACAAAAGCAATCTAAGAGAACAGCTAGATCAGGAGCAGAACCATAGAAATGGAGATCACATGGAGGGTTAGCAACAGGGGAGTGGGAGGAGGAGAAGGGGGGAGAAGGTACAGAGAATAAGTAGCATAGACGGTAGATAGAAAATAGACAGGGGGAGGGCAAGAATAGTAGGGGAAATGTAGAATCTAAAGAACTTGAGACATGTGGACATAAACTAAAGGGGGGAATGGTGGGGGTGCAGGGTGGAGGGGAATGAAGGGGGGAATAGGACAACTGTAATAACATAATCAATAACATATATTTTAAAAAGTAGTAAAAAGCTTATCTAAAGTAGGTGAAAAGGGGTCTACATTTCTACATGTTCATTACTGGGATCAAAATGATCAAAAATAGATTTTTAAGAAAAATTTGAATGTTGATATTACAAATTGTTTTAAGAAATACTTGTATTTATGCTTATATGTATAATGAAATGTAAGAGATTTTCTATGATATACATTTATGAGTGGAAGTGAATTATAAGTTTTATTAGTGTTTTATACTTTTTACTTTTTTATCAGCATGTTGACAGAAATATCAAGGATATGTTTACAGTGGTTTTTATATTACAGTGAAAGCTTTGTTCTTAAAACAGCGAACAAAAACTTGATTATGGCTGAAATGTAATATTCATGGACAAGTTTCTACCAAATTGTATTCTGTTCCTTAATTCTGTGTTTCAAAAGGCACATTACATCAGAGGAAATAAATGATAATGGTGGAAAAAAAGTGAAGTTATGAAAAGAGGACTTCTTTCTAAATGTGTATGTTATTTCTATTTCATGTCTAATGTTGCAAACCCATTGGGTAAAAACTCGAAACATAAGGAGAGAGGACCTCAAAGACATAGTAATAACTGATGCCCACTTTTCTCTTTTTTAATTAAATTTATAGGGGTGGCACATACGAGAGGCAAGCTGTAGATGTATCTCTCGCACATCAATGTTTCTCTGCCTCTCTCCCTCCCTTACCCTCTCTCTAGAAATGAGTGAATAAAATGTTTAAAAAAATAAAATTAAATTAAAAATCTTTAAAATAGCAAGAGCAAGACAGTTAATTGCCTACAAGAAAACTGTTACAAGACTGTCAGATCATTTCTACCCAGAAAAGCTATTATTTAGAATCAAAAGACAGATAAAGAGCTTCTGAGAAAAAAAAAAAAGCTAAAGGAGTTTATTACCACCAAACCAGCATTACAAGATATATTAAAGGGGCCCTGGCTGGTGTAGCTCAGTGAACTGAGCACAGCCTGCGAACCAAAGGATCTCTGGTTCGATTCCCAGTCAGGGCACATGCCTGGGTTGCAGGCCAGGTCCCCAGTAGGAGGCACGTGAGAGGCAACCACACATTGATGTTTCTCTCCTTCTCTTTCTCCCTCCCTTCCCCTCTGTCTAAAAAATAAATAAATAAAATATTTTTTAAAAGATCTATTAAAAGGTCTTCTTTAAGAAAAAGGGGGGAGGCCCTGGCTGGTGTAGCTCAGTGGATTGAGCACGGGCCTGCGAACCAGACAATCGCGGTTCGATTCCCAGTCAGGGCACATGCCAGGGTTGCAGGCAGGTTCCCTGCAGGCCAGTTCCCAGCAGGGGATGCACGAAAGGCAACCATACATTGATGTTTCTCTCCCTCTCTCCTTCCCTTCCCCTCTAAAGATAAATAAATAAAATCTTTAAAAAAAAAAGAAAAAGGGGGAAAAAGGAATACAAATATGAAAAGTAAAATGTTAATAATTCTTTAACTATTAATAGTCGCATTAAATATAAAGGTATTATATACTCCAATGAAAAGACATAGGGTAATTGAATGCATAAAAAAATAAGACCTCTGTCCTGGCTGGTGTGGCTCAGTGGATTGAGTGACGGCTGCGAGCCAAAGGGTCACTGGGTCGATTCCTGGTCGGGGCCCATGCCTGGGTTGCTGGCTTGGTTGCCGGTGGGAGGGCCATGTGAGAGGCAAACACACATGAATGTTTCTCTCCCTCTCTTTCTCCTTCCCTTCCCCTCTCTCTAAAATAAATAAATAACATTTACAACAAAATAGGACCTCTATATAAGCTGTCTACAAGGACCCACCTCAGAATAAAAGACACACACAGACTGAAAGTAAAGAGATGGAAAAAGTTACCTCATGCCAATAAAAATGAAAAGAAACTGGGGTAGCAATATTTATGATATAACAGACATTTAAACAAAGGCTATAATAAAAGACAAAGGAAGACACTACATAATGATGAAGGGATAAATTCAACAAAAGGATAAAACCCTTGTAAACATGTGTTCATCATAGAAGTATATAAATATATTAAGTAAATCTTGAGGACATAAAGAGAAAGATTGATAGTAACACGGTGATAGTAGATTTTAACACCCCATTGACATCAGTGGATAGATTTTCCGACAGAAAACCAAGAAGGAAAGAGCAGCCTTAAATGGTA